CATATTTGGGTGACGCTTATGTGACTACTTGCGAAGGATCGTCGTAGGTATTTGAAAAGATATTCCACAGAAAGTAATAAAACTATTGAATTGTTATAAAAATAATACGGAAATGGTTTATTAAGAAAATTATTTAGAACGTAAAACTTTAAAGTATTCTATACAAAGCTGAGGTTTGTCGGGACATTTTGGACAGTAAGTTATTGTTTTCTTTAAATTCTCTCGTGTCTTTTATGTGCGTAACATAGCTTGCATGCGCATCTAATGATTCCGTCGAAGACAAGGATTTTTTGTATTCTCAGGCAACCGTAATAATTTTGCAGCTAATAATTCTCTAAATCTTCTAATATTTACATGCTTCCTCGTTGCAATTTTGTAAACCGTCAAAGCGTTTACAACAGAAATTCCCAAAAGGAGTTGAATGCCAAGTTTTCCATTTGATTCCTTTTCTAATTGCGGTGGCATAAAAAAACCATTTGGTCAAAATAATACATACTCGTGGCCTGAAGGAGATTTCATTGTAAACAAGCGCGGCAGTCAACGTGTTAAAGTCAATTTCGCGAGGACTCGATTTTTCCTGATTTTGTCGTCCGTCCCTGTTGTCGTTCGCACAAACAAAGTGCAGAGAGGAAGGGAGAGAGAGGATCGCGTCATGTCGATTCGCATTATGTGCTACCTACGTATGCGTGTACGCCGGACTGCGTGCTTATGGTTATCGAGCCGCCCGTTTTCCTTATCTGTTCGAGCGATCGATTTCTCTCTCTATCCGTTTCGACGACCGGACCGAAGTGACGAGACGATCGTCCGGCTTGAAACGATCGACGACGCACGGTGCGGTCTCGACGGGGCTCGNNNTCGACGGGGCTCGAGGTTACTCGCCGCCTAACGACAACGCTTGCACGATTCTAGGATCGGCTTTGCTACCCTCCCGGAACTCTTCCAGGGTTAATTTGTCGTCGTGGTTTTTGTCCATCTGATCGAAGATCTTGTCCACCCTCTTTTGTGGCGTGTTCTCGTCCTCCGCCTGCGGCTGTTGCCCCTGAAACACCAGGCGACCGATCTATTAGAAACAAGCTCGACATTTCTACCGCGCTTCGCCTCCTCCGAATCTGCCAACTTCCACTGCGAAACTTTCCGCAGAATCGTTGGAATGTTCAGGTCGCGCGAGCTCTGAAAGCAACGCGCTTCCTATCGCGCGTATACGCAGCGTAAGATTACGAAGAAAGGAACCGACGTATGATTAACGCGCGTCGTATGACGTTACCAAGTCGTAAGAGTATTGTTCCAAGTTCACGTTATACACGCGCGTTTATCTCGGAAATGGAGAAAAGATAAAGTCACGGAAGGCCGCTTAATTCGAGTTTCTCGTGTCGGCAAGTTTTCAGATAAAGCGTTTGGAAAGAGCGATGGATTTAACGCAAATCGAGTCGGTCGATTTTTTCCCTCTTCCGCTGCTTGCACCGAGTTTCTATAGCGTCGCGTCCTTTTTCCATTTTAATATTTTCTACGAAATGTACGAACTCGGTGTACTTTCTCTTACGTTTTTCCACAGTCGCTCGCAATTTCATCTTTTTCATATCGCACGTGCGTAATCTGCAACCGTTTGAGTCGCAGGGATATTCGAAAAATCCCCAACAGCGCGAAGAGAAACAAGCGGCGCAGCAGCGCTCGTCGTATTCCTTACTTTTATGAAATACATCTATAATATTATATTTGCGTACTATCAATTAATAAATATTTCGAGTTCTGTTCGATAAAAATTATTCAGAAGATAATAATGAAATTTACCATCTAATGATAAAATCCGCAATCACTTAGTTGCCAACCCAATGCAAAATACCGTGAATCGTCCGTAGCGTTCAAATGGCACTTTTCCACATGAAACTTAAACAGCTCGTTCGCGCTGCTTGCGACTCAAACGGATAACGAAGAAAGAAAGGGACAAAACGATGCGTACGATTAACGCGCGTCGTACGACGTTAACGAGCCGTGGGAGGAAAAAGCACGAACGGCGAGAAGCTTGTAAAGCGATACTTGTCGATAACGAAATTTTTTGAACCGCGTCGGCTGCAGCATCGACGAACGTGGAAATTTTTCCGCTAAATTTTTCATGCGCCGATCGCGATAGCGGTAAACGTTTGCACAACAATGCACGCATTACGTATTCTGCGAGCAAAGCTATCTTGGATCTCGCGTTACGTTGCCCCGACGAAGAAAAATACGTGCATTGCAACGATCCGTGTACCATTTACATTAACCGTAGCAGTTTAACGTAGCAGCCATTTAACGTGCTTTACGAGAAAACGCAACGTATCGCGCTGAACGTTTATTTCTGGTGTATAGTACACGGTGTTGCGCGTCGGCTAAGAGAAATCATCGGATTAAAATGTTTCTTTGTTGTCGGTGTCCCAGTTTCTTCGCGGAGCTCGAGCTCGCGCGCGTCCGATTTGCGGAGGATTCGAGGCTCGCCGTTTCGTTTAACGCGAATGAAAATTACGTCGGTCGCAGTGCATAGTCTTTCGTCGACGTGCGTAACTCGTTTATCGAACGCTCAACTTCGTTTGTTTCCGTCGTTTCCTAGATATAATCGCGTTTTAATAAATCGCTCCACGCATTCCGCGTCACGTAAACCGGAGACTTTCGTTCGTCCGCCTGCCTGCCGTCTTTCGTAAAATCAACTCGCAACGAATCGAGTTGGTTGGACGAAAAAGTTGGCGAAATGGTTGGCGCGCTAAACACAAGCGCAAGCTAAGATACGATGCGATAAAAATTCCACGAGTTTCGTTGATCACCGATAAGGGATGCCTTTACGCGCGGCACAGCTGTCGTTCCGGTTGTATACGCTCCAGGCGACTAGTTATTAATCTTTGTTAATACTAGTTATTAATAGTAATTAATGCGTGAAATATTTCTGCTGGTGAACTTTTGGTGGTTTAACGATAAAATTAGGCCGTGAAACATGGGGTCATTAACGTAGACTCGCGACAAAAATGCTCGAGATAGGGCCGAAAGCACGGAGTTGGGCGCCTGGTAAATGCCAGACGCGATTTCGTTCAAAATGAGCAGGTTGCCGTACGCAGGCGTTTTTACTCGCTATGCGCTCTTAACATACGGATACCACGCGCATAATTTAAAGCTGGGGTTGAAATAAAAGGTGAATAATGGCCGGCTGTACGCTCGATATCTCTGATAAGAAAAATAGCAGTGGTCAGTGGGCATAGTACGCTTTTCTTTCCTTTTTATTTTATTGTCGGCTAACGATTGCCTGTATCGACCTCGCCTTTTGTATATCGTCCGTGCGAAAAAAATTTAGCTCAAATGGTCGTTGAAAATTCTCGATCGGTTCTCGAACGAGAATCGAGCTGATCGGTGACCGATTCGAAATATTAATCGATTCGTAAGCGTCGATGAATATCGACGATTGTCTCGCAGGCTAATTGCAGTATTCTTGTAGACAACACTTGAAATGGAAAAACCTACGTGGCAATGGTATTGAATTATAATTAAATAATATATAGTATAATATGATAGAATAAAAGTTACAATGGAATAGAACGGTATAAAATTTGAGATTTTTCATTCGTAAAAAATTACTACTGGCGTTAAATGATGATAATACTGATACGTCCAAAGTTTGTATGTAATTATATAATATCCAAGCGAATGTATGGATATTAAATATCATCAATTATAAAACAATTCTTACTCTGAGCATTGTAAAATACACTTTTGTAATAAAAGAGAAAAGAACATCTTGGAAAAATATATTTTCTGTTTTTATACGATTTGCTTAGTGAGAAACAGAGTTGATACTTTCAGTGCTTTCAAGTTTAACCGAATGGCGCATTTAGCTTTCTCTACAATTAAGAGTTGGTACATACAAGATTTTCTAAAGATATAATTCATTTTTCCATGAATATTGACTGTATTAGTGCAGAAGATAGAAAATGTTATGACGCATTTGAATTATCGTACACTTAGCATCTTATCTTCAATTATTTACTTAGTTATTGGTCATAGACCTGTAGCGGTACTTGATAGTAATCTTTCCAACGGTTTCTGTCCGATGGCTCGCTACACAAAGACCTTATTCTTCGGACAAGATAATTACCAGATGTCGATACATCCACACAGAATATTTTCAGGTAGTCTAAGGATCCGCTATACATCTTATGATTTAATTAGCTAAGGTTTTCCAAAGGAACAAATAGTCTTTGTCTTAACAATCCCTAAATCTATTACCTGCTACGGGAAGATAGGGGAAATCTGCCTTTTTCCGACTTTGCTTCAATTGTACAATGCTTCCGACTTTACAATGCGTCCGTACAATGCGACTTTCTTTCAAGCACGGTTAGCATCCTTCTCCAACCACCAAACAGAAATTAACCAATTAACATCAACGTCCACTCCCCTCACTTTCCGAAACAAGGCTTTCCTCAATGATTCCGATAATCTCGTATCCTTAGACATCTTTGTTTGACAGTTATACGTAACGGCGACACCTCTGTAGCATCATCGTAACGGAAAATCAGTCGTCAAACGCGAGTCGATAGTTGGTAGTTAGCAGTAATAATTGATCCGAGTTTCTTGACATCTTAAGCAATCATCATCCGCACTTGTATCATGCGTCATAACGCATCGACCAGAAGTCGAACTTGTAATTGCGAGTCCTACGCATAGTGTACACATAGAGTATATGTTAATAAATATACAGGGTGGTTGGTAACTGGTGGTACAAGCGAAAAGGGGGTGATTCTACGCGAAAAAAGAAGTCGAAAATATAGAATAAAAATTTCTTTTTTTTAATTTTTTTTTGTTTAAATTTGTAGGAAGTGTAGTGGAGTAGATGCTGCCAGGTGAAAAGAGAGTCGTGCGTTTCATCCCGGGACTACCGGTGGACTCGTCAGTAAGGCTATGCCCGGTGGTCCCTGCCTTAGACGTAGAGGGAGTCTCGCTAGGTGCGGTATTTGTATCATTCGCCTGTATATTCGACCGCTAGCGAGATAGACAGACTCGTTGTCGTCGTAGCCCTCTGGCGGTCGTCGTAGCCCTCTAGTGTTGGCAGTTGGTACCAGCGGATCGCCCGGGAGGTGTTGCGCCGCGTTGATGCCTCGACCTGTCTGCGTCCTATTGATACCGATCCACCACAAATTGTTCCATCGAGACAACGATCTACAGAGAGTTCCGTTATAACGAGACATGATAAAGTGCACGCGTACCGAGCGAAAATTCGAAGTCGATTTTCTCAAGAACAAAGCCTCAAACGAAAAATTTTTATTCTATATTTTCGACTTCTTTTTTCGCGTAGAATCGCCCTTTTTCCGCTTGTATCTCCAGTTACCAACCACCCTGTATATATCTTGCATAGCACTCTGCATATTAAATATATTCAAGTGTTCCTTCGCACCTATCACGACCTATCCACCTCAGGCTTTTCACTGTCGGATGAACGAGTACCTAATGAAGCATGAAACGAAGTATAAAAGAGCGAGCACTAACTTTAAGACACGATTCGTGCAATTTCTCACATCTCACTGAAAGTAGATGTTTCAAAGGAGGAGCATTTTTGACTTTGTTTGAACGAAAAACTCTAACCGTTCGTCTATGCAAATACAAAAATACAAAAGGAGTCTAATAAATTAAATTTTTAAAGTGTTATTTCGATCTATCAGAGATGCAACCAAATTATTGTCGGAAGAAATATCTGGGACCCGTGAAAGAAATCGATGATTTTTCGCTAACATCGCTCGGAATTGAGCAGTCTATCGATACGATCGAAATTTTATAATTTCAAAAGTTCAACAATTTTTAGACAATCAACGAACTGATCGAGGACCTTAAAACAAACGTCAGGTCCGCTATGGTTCCACGCTATTCAGGAATTTTTTTTTTTTTTTTTAGTTATTTATTTAAATTTTACAATTTGTCCAGTACGACATTTGGTAAAATATTATAGCTTAGTGGTATAATAATATAACATGTGGGTGCCTACCCCCAGCGGGGTACCATCTTCGTGTTTGTTAGGTTATATCCTTTATGAGATCTGCTGGGTGTTTCCTTTCTAGTCTTTTTTCTATGCTTGATGTGTTGATCGTTTCCGCTGCTAGCCGGTTTGGATGCGTTGCTATTCTTTCTCTGTCCTTCTTGCGCATCTGCTAATCTCCTCCTTGACCGTTGGTATTCTCAGGTCTTTCCGAATGTCTTTGTTCCTAAGGTACCATGGGACATTTACTATTGTTTTAAGAATTTTAGCTTGCATTGTCTCTATTTTGCTTATATGGCTCATTGCTGCTGTTCCCTATAGTGGTATTCCGTACGTCCCGATTGGTTTTTCCCTATAGTGGTATTCCGTACGTCCAGATTGGTTTTATGATCGTTTTGTATATTTTTAATTTATTTTCTATGCTTAATTTGGATTTTCGACTTGTTGGCCAATGCATTTGGCTCTGTTTGGTGATATCTGTTTTCGCAGTGTGAATGCAATATGGAGGAGTGAGCATATTCACATTATTGTCATAATTATAGCAAGTTTTGAGTATCGGTTTATCAATTTTGAGAACGATGTGTGTGAGAAATTCCTATTACACGCTTTCAAGCAATTTCATGATATGCGACTGCGCTGAATTCTATTTTTCAAATGCGTATTCCAGGTGTGACACGATTAGAAACGAGTATATTTTACAAATTTCGTTGTAAACATATCATTCTAAACGTTTCATTGTGTGGCTTCTTAACGAGATCCAGAGATTTTGAGGTGTCGTTTTCTAGAAATTTGTAGAAGATGACGAGGAGGAAAAAATACCGTCAAAATAAGTTTTTGTTTTTTGTTTATCCGGCGGTGTACCATTTATGGAGTTATCATTAATCGAGTATTGTTTCATTTTCCACGAGAAATATATAGCATGACATTTCGAGATAGGAACAAATCATTTCAATTGACCAAGTCATCGATTAAGGATTTCTATTGAGATATGTGTAATTTTGTGTGCTACACTAGATTAGCCACATTTAGTAACACACATATATGAGTATGAGTGTGTGAGAGTATGTGCGTGCACAGCGTCTCGTAAAACAGACGAATGCGACTGTTTCGTTGGTAATGCGATATAGAAGATGGCGAGAGAAAGAGAGTTCTGTGACGCGTGCAAATATGCATCGATAAATATCTTGCAAATCACATACTAAATAAATCTGAAACTATTTTGATATCAATTCTAAGTATAATCTAAGTGTTCCTATACATTTATTTCGGCGATTAAGATCCACAATTCTCAACAATTTCATCCTGTTACGAGTTTTTTAATCATAAGAACAAACGATAAAGAGGTTACCGTGACGCAAAAACTTTCGCTATTTTATCTTTGTTACTAATTTCACGGGGAAGAAAAATCCCTTTAGCGAAAATGAAAAGATACAGTGTACGGAGTGAAGGAAAGATAGTAAAACGCAAAATAATTGTTAGAAAATAGATGTGTGTACATCTGTATTGTACGAGCGAGGAATAAAAAAGGGGAAGACAAAAGGAAAACGCCATGAGACGAGTGCATCGCGTATGTGTCGAATGAATGAATGTGCAATAAAACAAATTCATTTCTGTTTGAGATGTATAAGAGAATAATACTTCAATTTGTTCGTTAATACTTCAATTTGTTATGTTACATATAAAATAGTTATTCTGTTATTTAATAAAATCTTATATATCATTACTTTAGCAATAATAAAAATAAAAAAAAGATAACAAGTAACAATTAAGAAGAAGCTAAAATTAAGGATTAAGATAAGGAAGTTATAAAATCCGTCCTGAAGAGTATCTTGGAGATTCCATAGATCGACTAAAATACATCAATTTTGTGGTGGACAGAGTCAGTGAAATTCATCGTCCTGTTAAAACAGTTACGACAGTCGAAACGGTTGCAGTTGTAAATGTTGCTTTAACAGCAAGTAATTTCGCATTCTTCTGGAGATTACATTTACGTTATTACATTTACCTTATTATATTTTTCGTTTCGAAATATTTACAGTCGCCTTAGCTAAATTCTGTATATAACTCCGTAATGATCGACTCAATCCAATCATTCAACTTCTACCGTTATTTGCAAACATGTCAAATAAGAGGTACACTCGTTGTTTCTACATTCTTGACTTAGGACAGTTTCATCGTCACGGGCACAAGCGTACGGTCGAGGGACAAGTTATGGAATCTCTAAGAATTTCATATACGAATGTAGTATAGCATATGATTCGCCTATCGAATAGAGTTTGAACATTCAACCTCCTAATAATATCATCGCGATTGTGGCAATTAAACGATGTAAAATTGCCGCAATGTTTGGTAGCCAATTTTAACAATTTATGTTGTTCTAAATATGAAACATAAATGTTATTTGAAAATTATGTTTATCTCTGATGTGAGATTTCTAACAAGGAGATAATCCGAGATAACACTACTATATTATTGACAAAGAGAATGAAGAGAAGAGCGCCAAAGTGGGATTCTCGTGAATTACCAACTTAACCTTAAATGATTTAAAAGAATGATAATAAAATTTAACAACCAGGTGACGACCTTAGAGATAGCTAGCTTTTCAGGCGATGCTTCCGGAGAAGCCTATAGCTCTCAGTTTACGAATTAGAATGCCATGGTTTATTTAGCCTTTTGGTATACACCGAATCAACCTGATAACCATTGTTAAGCTCCTCTGATAAATAGCGACGATACATCAGGAGATTTGTCACGGCGAATCTTCCTGAAACGAAACCACTTTGCTCAGTTTGGTATAATGTAATTTTAATTTGATCTACGTATTAGCCTCTTGAGTACGATGCGCCACTATAGTGGCTTTCGCGGATGTCATCTTAGATTACGACGCGCCACTATAGTGACTCACTGTACTATTCATTATTCGCTTGCCGTTTGAACTAAATGATCTTTTACATTTGTCTTGCTTCACACTTCTTTTGCCCTCACAACGTTTTATAACTGTAGCGGCACATATGTCATCGGACGTTTCGATTGGAAGATGCCTTATGTAGTTGTTTTGCCACAGAGGATTAACACAGTACGATGCACAAAATGTAACAAACTCTGGACAAAGCAATATTGTTGCTACGTGCAATCGTCAACCAGAGTCAAGTTTAAAATTTCCGGTACACCCGCGACCAGTATAAATAGACAACCATGCTCTCCAGACATGAGTCGTCGAGATTATCAGTCGAGCGAATAGGTATAGCGAATCAGTCTAAAGAATCAGCATAACGAGTAGTATCGAGTATGCTTGTAACGAATTGCATCGAGCGAGCGACGCTTACGCCTAGCTCCGTATTCCACATTTAAATATACTTGTAAATACATTTGACGAAATCAACTCGTCTCGTTATTAATTTAACCAACAACACGTTTCACCGTCCACCACATGCCTTTTTTTAACACGCCGATCCGTATTTTTCTAATTTTTTAGAATCTTCAGCCTCAAAATGTCGCTTGAAAATAGAAAACGAAGAACAATTTGAAAAATACTGTCGCGTTATGAGTGTGAAAATTGTGACGTGGGTCTGTGTCGTACCGTGCTTTAAAATATATCACACGCACTTGTATTGTTAATTGTTAAAGTAAATTATTCAGGTTCAAGCATATACATCATATCTTTAGGAAAAATTACAATTTAGATATTAAACACTTCGTTCCAATGTGATTGGTACAATTCAACCGAACCTGAGAGGTTAACTTTCCTGAAATTTTGCCCACGACGATGAACACACAGATTGATCCGCAATTAGAGATGGCGTTTCTATCAGCGGATTTAATTATAAACGTAACGATACCTGTTTTCTGAAAGTGCGAAAAAATACCTGCCTTCGTAGAATAATATTATAAAATATATAATAAGAATATAACAATTCTGCATATTATGAATTTGTAGAATTCAAAGAAAACGAGAGACGATCTCTGCCTCTCAGTTAGATGATCGATGAAGCGTGCTGAAATGACTTTCTCGATCGACGTAATCCGCGTCGCGGCTGCAATTTTCCCGCTTTATTGCCGCCAATGCGAAGCCGACGTTATCGATAACGTCGAGTGGTTGGCGTCGCAGCGCCGGCGTCGGTGTTCCGCGAGAAAATTCGGCTATCGATCGGCCAATATTTTCCACCAGTTTCGATCAGCTAATCGTGCGATTAATCGCGTTTCGCGGATCAGGCCAGAAAAATATGCTCCTTCAATCTGTCCAATGGGTGGAACTTCTCAGCGGACGTTTCACGCGTTTGCACGTCGAAAGCGCGTTGCGTCGGCGGTTCCAACGTCGTTATTATTCGACCGCGCGTATTCGATCGACGACTACGCGCGTACTATGTAACGCGTTAGCGCAATGGATAATTATCGACTATGTTTATTCGATCAAACAAGGGATGGCGCGACAGTTACGAAATTTAATTTATATTGGATGTAACGCGTATTCTACTTGCAATAGAATCAACCGAAACAATTGTTCCGCATAATAAACGACGCTGCGTTCAAGTAATGCGATTCTCGGTCGGAACCACGTCAAACGTCCACGTTCGCAACGCATGCGGCGAAGAAATAAATTTATATAGTCGACGATCGTTACGGGAAATGTTTGCAGCTCGATTCAGGTACGTTTTTCCAGCTGGCGAAGATAGAACAACGCGCAAGTACCTGCTTCGAGAAGGTATAAAGCGACAGTGATGTACCTACCACCATCTCGTACATCGCATCGACGATATTGTACATCTCCTCCCTCGTGATGAAACCGTCGTTGTCCACGTCGTACAGCCGAAACGCCCCTGAAAATAAGAAACAGAACTCATATGGTAACTGCTGCGAGATTACTTGGCGCATCGATTCCAACGTTTCGAGTGCCTACGTCTAGAGTTTTGAAATTTTCAAAGATTTTCCGAGAGACATTTCAGCCATAAGCCATTGCCATGGTCGTGCAAGTTATTCAAAACATCGATCTCGAAGCTTTTAATTCGAAGCTGCCTATCATTGTATTCGTCAAGTTTTTTCAGATGCCAATTGGCTGTGCTTACTTACAGTGAAGTTTCTCGTCCAGGTTGCCGCGCGACGTTACCGACAGCGCCCTTATAAACTCTTCGAACTCTATCGTGCCATCCTGAAAAACAATCGTTCGTGCAATTTGCGTTACAGCGGATCGGAAGCGAGATACGTTGGTTCGGCTTTCGATCGTTGAACAAATTTCGTAGCCATGTGTACGCTGTATGTGACGAATTTGTCACGGAATTACCCAAATCGTGGAGGCGATTGCTTGCGTGTGAAATCTGGCCGATCGCGTTGGTCGTTTCGGAGCGACGTTCGCCTCGGAGAAAGCGAGATCGTAGCGTCGGGAAGTAGTACAAGCGCGAAATTAAGGAAACAACGGTCGCGTGCTGTCGTTTAGTATGGAAATGATAAACATGGAAATTCGGCTAACGGTAAATCTAAAACAACGAGAATATCTAAGAAGCGAAATCTAAAAAGAAAACGAATTACCATCAATCGATAAACCAATGATTAATGGATATTCTTCGTTCGAAATTTCTTGCTCGCTTCTCTTTTAAGGCCGAGTTTAGTTATTCTGATTTAACAACGAGAAACGGGAACCGTGCATAGGTCAAAACCATTTATAGAAAATCGATATTACACAAATGCTTGAGAAAAATGAACTCGCCTCGTCTAGCGATATATTCGAATAGAGACGATAAGTGTTTGCTTCTTTGTCGCTTGTGATTTTCGTGGTCAGAGTAGGGTTCGTAGAAGAGTAGAGTTACCGATAGCATTCGAACGAACACGTTAAAGCGCGCGGATTAAAAAGGCGTTACGAAACTTACGTTGTTCTCGTCGAACACTCTGAAAACCAGCGTGGCAAATTTCGATGGATCGCCTTGTGGAAAGAACTGCTTGTAGATCTTTATGAAACCCTGAAATCACGCAACAGGCACTCTTATCTTCAAACTTTCTCTTATCTTGGCGTACATATTGATTTTCGTTTAATTAACGTGCCAGCTGAAACCAGGTCATACCTGTTCCGTTAGCAGGCCATCGGGACAGTCTTTCAGGAATCCTTTGTGCCTAAACAAACAATCGTCAAAGTTATCGAATGTACGTTTACTCGCTCTCCTTCCAATCTCACTTTTCTTTTCCACGAACGAACCAGCAAATTGATAAAACATTACCGCGAAAGCCAGATAGACGAAGCCACGTATCCGACCAACGTAACGTTACTCTGACTTTTTCACCATCTGACTACGCGTTCTATTGGGTTGGCAACTAAGTGATTGCGGATTTTGTTATTAGGTGGTAGCCAACCCAATACATTAAACGATGTTATACGATTTAAATATGTATATTACCATCGGCATGTTACATGTTTTTGTCGGTAAATTTTCCCAGACAATGTTAAATCGATAGATCGTAGATTTATCTATCCGTTATTACCTAATAAACCGACATAATAATTTGTTCGCTGATTATATACTAAATCGTACATTTATGGGAGCATTGTTCAACGTATCCAATTTAATCCTCGATAAATAGATACGAGTGCCATGGCGCATATCGGTCACGCAAACGCTAGTAAATTATCTTCGAACACGAGCAAAATATAATCGAACGGAGACGAGGAAATTTACTAGAAATTTTCGAAAGCTTTCGTCTCGTCTATGGCTTCGTAAACCACCGAACGCAACGTGTACGTGTAATCTTTTCTTCTCATTGTCCACTGGACGTGCTTGTCGCGCCTCGAAAGCTTCGCGGTTTTATACATATTGACTCGTGACGTCGATTTCCATAGAGCGTCTCGACGGGACGAGCTGGTTCGATCCGAGATTCCGGTCGAAACGCTTGATCGTCGGTGACTCACCATTGTCGAATCTCCTTCTCGGTAACTGAAACAGAAACGAGCGAAAACGCTTTTAATCGAGTGCGGGCTACAGACAGTAACGAGGAGCAAAGGTTGGTGGAAAGTGTTCGACAAACAGAATGGGCAAAGCTCGAGTGGAAATTGGAAACTAAGGAAGTCGAAGCGAGAGGAATTTCGCAGCAACGTTCGCTACTCTCGTTACAGATGCGCACTCGGTTAACTTGCTGATAGAAAAATCCTTGGGATCGTTGATAGCGGGAAATTTGAATACACAGTTAGCTAATTATTATTTATCTGTTTGTCAGGTTCAATGAAATATCTATTATTTATGTTTCAACGGCGTTGTAAGCCCCGATGTCTTGTAGCTTGTTCAACTTAAGCACATCTCGACCCTCTGTTAGACGTCGCCCTTTTCTAAAACGGGAACCGCGCTGCACTTTGCATGGCCAACGTAACTGGGTATAAGACGGCTGATCGTAAACGTGAATCTTTACTGCGAAGAAAGTAACTTTTTCCGTACTTCGTACACCTTCGGGCGCAGTTTGGTTTCTGTTCTTCCGAGATAAGCTTTTACTTCTTTTGTAACCATTCGTATGGGTACTATAGAGAGGTGAACGCATGAATAAATAAATAAATAGAGAAAGAAAACTTTCCGAACAAACACCGTTTCACGACAGTGGAATATCTGTTTAAATGATAAAAATGAACATATTAATCAGCAAGCAATAAATTACGTGAATCGTCGTTGGAAAAGCTTGAATGAAAAGCTATGAATCTGTTTAAATTTGCTCGTTACAAACAATTAACTACTCGATAACAATCGAAAAAGATTTTTTCATTAATCGAAATCCAGATCTTAATAGCTTTATATTTCACATTTGAAATTTTACCGAATTTATACCGAATATCTAAATATAAAATAACATGGTATGGAAATAACATGGAATTACGATAAATAATATCCTAAAATATAAACTGTACATTATTCGAAAAAAGTGTTTCAGATAGAACTTGTCCTATTTCGAGAGGGACATCTGGCAGTGGTCGCAAATCTTATCTAGGTGGACGCACCTCCGAGACTTGAGGATGGTCTTTGTTTTTCTAAATGGTATGATACGTTTTTTAGACGCCATTCGATACAGTTTTTAATTCTCTACAGAAGAGTATACAAGTACCTGATTCGAAAAATGATTAGTTTAAAAGATATTTTAAATGTAATATTGTAAGACTTGAATGAACAGCAAGGAAAAATAAGTCAACGTTTATGTTTTTAAGCTTTTATTAAATGATAATACTAATACATATATATAAAAATGAAAAAGTATACGTAAAATCACATACATATAAGAAATAAAAAAAGAGTTTCACAGATGTAGCGATTATTCAGGATCGAGGTATCCCAGCCGCAACCAATGTGCTCCCACGTCTCTGGGCGGTTCTCCTTCCCTCCAATCCAACACCAATCTTGCGGACATTGCTACTCCTGGAGAAGTGTCGATGTTGAATAGGCATCCTGACCGTTTCCTCAACGTGATAAGTCGCGCCAGGCGGTGTCTTATTGTTTGTTGCTGTTGGTCCCGCACGCCTCGCAGGCGAATCCTTCTCACCCATGGTGCCGTCGTTCTATATCTTTCTGGTAGCAAACGGATCGAATCGATGGTATGGTGGGTTACTAACGCCCAGTCTATCAAATATACGGCGTAATCCGTCGGCGTTCGTTCTAAAATAATTCCTCTGTCCCAAAAATTGTTTCTTCTAAAATTCACTAGGACAGCGACGAACGTCCCTGGTGTCAAATCTCTGGTCTCTGGCAAGTACCTCTGAGAACGGATAAACATCTCCCAATTGAGTACGTACGTTATTCTTGGCCACCCACATATTCGTACCCACATCGTAGAAAGCGACTCGACACGTACAACTTTGACACGAATGCCTTCTTGAAACACTTCGTTTGTTCGTAGCAAAAGCTCCATCTTTCCAGGTTTCTTCAGAAATCTCAAATATCAGTTTTTGGCTACTGCGGCTACCTTACTCTCTCCTCGAGCAGAGACGACAGATTGAATTTGCCGGAACTATATATAGGGGGTGCATGTCATTGTCTATTGCGACGAAAGAAGGATTACAATGGCGCATTCTCCTACTTATTTGCTTACCGTTTGAACTAAACGACCTTCCTCATTTGTCTTGTTTGTCAATCATATTCGAAGATGGTATCTCACTGGGGATAGCCATCCACATGTTTTATTATTATACCACTAAGCTATAATATTTTACCAAATGTCCTACCGGACAAATTGTAAAATTCAAATAAATAAATAAAAAAAAAATTTGTCTTGTTTCACACTATTTTTGTCCTCGCAACGTTTTATAACAGTGTTAACAACATACAAACAGAATATATAGTTTTTGTTTTTGATACGCCAGTATCAGATATCAATTGTTGCTTTTTATTAAAATAAATATACCATTATTAAATGCTCTCTTTAACGAGCATTTAACGAAAATAGAAAACGAAAAGCAATTTAAAAAACACTGTCAACGATTGTGACGTGGGCCTATGTGTCGTAGCGTGCTTTAAAATATATCACACTCAATTGTATTATTAAATTAAATTGTATTAAATTAAATTATATTATTAAAGTAAATTATTCAAGTTCAAGTATATGCGTTATATCTTTAAGAAAAATTATATTTTTTATTATCTTGTATATATCTATTATAAATTTAATTATCAAAATACTTCGTTCCAGTGTGTTGCAACGCGTGAGATGGTCCTCGCGCCCTCCCTCATTGTCTGCCTGCGAAGGGTCCGCGTACCGTTATTCAGACCCTCATTAAGCCTCAGGCCCCATCATTAAGTTAAAAGATTCAGTATATGCATCTCTAATCCTGAAACTATTTTCGGTTTATGAATGGTCCTTAGAACAATCCTTAAATTTATTGCACGCTCTTACAAATTACGGACAAAGCAGATATTTGTCTAATGGAAAGGCGGATTTTTCCCATAAACAATGACACCCTCGAGCTAAGTTGGCAGGAGATTTCCTTCTTCTATCTTCATTTATTAACACTAGAACTATCGGCATTTGAGACGTAGCTATCTCTACCAAAGCCAGTCGAAATGATTGGTCTTTAAAAAATACGTAATAGTAGAATATTTTTATATTTATTGATCTATTATTATCTTGCAAGAAGAATTCCATGTTCTGAGATCATAAAAACTATACCATAACAACTTTAATAATAACAGTAAGTACAATAATGAAGAATATTCAGTATCAAAACGTTTGGTAAAAAGAATGTTAAAATAAATTTCCATTGGTAAATATAAGAAGTATAATATAATAATACAGGGTGGTTGGTAACTGGTGGTACGAGCGGAAAGGGGGTGATTTTACGCGAAAAAAAAAATCGAAAATATAGAATACAAATTTTTTTTAAATTTTTTTTCTTTAATTTTTTCATCGAGACAACGATCTACAGTGAGATCCGTTATAACGAGACGCGATAAAGTGCACGCGTACCGAGCGCAAATTCAAAGTCGATTTTCTCTAAAACAAGAAAACAAAGCTTCAAACGAAAAATTTTTATTCTATATTTTCGACTTCTTTTTTCGCGTAGAATCACCCCCTTTTCGCTTGTACCACCAGTTACTAACCACCCTGTATAACAGTAAGCGTAATAAACGTAATAGAATAAATAAAATACAAATATGATTTATATTATTGGGTACAAAATTTATTATTCATCACATTTCTTACAAACGTAAACTTTCTTCTGCCAGCATTTTCCGCATACATATTTTTTACAAAAATTGCAAATGGTGGTAGTCTTATTATTATTACAGTACCGTATCTGACACTATTTGCGAGAATACTGGTGAGTTCTTTGACGTATTTCGGATCCCATATGTTCTATGTTCTATCAGTGATTTTTCATTGTCAGCGGCAAGTTCATCTACTAATTGAAACATAAAATCTTTTCTGGATATCTGCTGACCTGTGGTTTTCTTATATAAAATCCAGGCAATTATGCCAGCTAAATCTAAAATATTAAAAAATATTTGAAGTGACCATCTCCTTGAACCCGATTTCACGCTATATTTTTTTGTCATTTGGTCTGCTATATCTACCCCAAATTTTGTTTTATTATAAAATTAGACCGTTTCAGATAGGCCCTTTTCGCTTTTTCCTAAATAAGGAAATCCATTTGCGACATACTTTGTTTGAACATCAGATGCCAGCCAAAATTTAATTCCGAATTTGTCGGGTTTATTCGGTAAATATCGCGTAAACCTGCATCTGGCTTTGGTTGGGAAAAGTAGCTCATCTATTGTAAAATTTGCAGCAGGTTTATAGCAATTCTGACTGTTTTCAATAAACTTATCCCATACGGATGATATTAGTATAAATTTGTCATTTTTCAAATGTTGATTTCTATCATCTTTTTTGTCAAATCGAATAAATATCAATATTTCAACAAACTCATTCCGACTCATTGTGCTGGAAAAGAAGCTTGGTCCCCATTTTACATTCCACAAATATGAAAGTTTCAAATTTTTCGCTTCGTATGCTCCCCGTACAATATTTTAAGGAATGTTTTCAATTTTTTTTCTTCAATTTTGTTGTTCAAAGATCCATTTTTTACCCAAAACTCGAGAGGCTTCTGATTCGGTGCAAGATGTACGTTGCAACATATACCTGTCGATCAGTAAGGAAAATTACTTTATCTAATTACTTTATCTTTCATGATACTTTTTTTGTATATCCTGTGAGCCGGATGTGTCTTTGAATATATTGTGCAAGGGTAATCTCCCAAAAGCTGACCCTTTTTGAATTCTTTCCCACTTGGTTCCATTTACGGTAATTTCATTTGGGTTAGCTTGTACATATGTACAAAAATTCCAAAACAAAGGCCCCTATTCGGAATTTTAGTTGGCCGTCCGTTTATGGCACGGACAGACCTCTTTCCCTCATTAAGAAATTCCGAATTACCGGTCCTCCCAGGGCTGTAATTCGGAATTTGAGTGACCGTCCGTTTATGACACGGACAGGCCCATTCCCCTCGTTAGGAAATTCCGAATTACATGTTCTCTATTTTATTCCGTTGACGTACTTCTTCGAGTTCTCGTCTCTTCGTGAACGGTCGAGAAATACAATATATTTGCGCAGAGAGCAACATGGCAGTGCTGTATCGTTTACGCATAATTCACGTCAAACTCTACAGAGAAACAGCCCCGCACAAAATTCAATCGCATCTAAGAGATTAGGGACCGAACTATTTACAAATGACGCGCTCGGGCCAGTGCAACACGAAGAGAAGGAAACGTCCACGTTCCGAATTCGACGAATTGGAAGAATTCGGAAACGGCGGAGAGTTCGATCGCTCGATCGATAATCCAATAAATGAAAATTCTTATGGATGAGAGGAATCGAAGGAAGTCGATCGGATCGAAGGAGAAGCAGAAATAAAAGATAAGTAAATCGGATTCGCTGTTTCAAGGAAAATGAACGTGCCTCAAAGGAGAAGGTTAAGTTGAATGCGTGGCCCGGTTCTTTCGTTTGTAGGCCGCCGAAAAACTAACCTAGATTTATGGATGGACATTATCGGATGCACGTACGTTACAGCAATGGCTCAGAGAAATTTCTGTCGCGTTAAAAGACGATCGATGACCCGAAAAAGGATGACGTTTTCCCAATTTTCGGTCGGATTTAGTCAAACAGTTTAGCGTGACACGACGCTCTTGACTATTTCTCGTGGTTCATGCGTGTTGCAATCGTCAGAGTGAAAAAAGAAGGTTGTCGATTCGTTTGCAAAAAAATATACATAATTTTGTGAAGGCCTAGGCTAGCTCAACGTACCATACGAAAATCGTCGATTTCTTCGATAACTATTTAAGTTTTCTTTTGATAAATCGCGCATACATAATGTTTCTAGTAGGTCGGTTTGGTCGCAACTGACTTTTATAACCTTCGATAAATTTGCGCATGGTTTTCGAGGTAGCACGCAGTGACCGAGACAAGGCCAACCCACGTTTTCGTATACGGCTCGCGTTCCACCTTTTCTTCGCTTCTCTCCGTACCGTATAACGGATCGCCTCGCAATTATGCTCGGAACGCCACCTACGCAATTTTATTTCATTCTAGTCCTTTGAGTTTCGCTCGATTCTTGCAATTTATTACTCGAATTTCATTCCTATCGTCCCTCTCACTGCCGAGATCTTTCCACAAGACTAGAAAGGAGTGTTGCCTGCAACGTGGCTCGAGAAATACTTTCATTTCGGTGCTTTCGTGCTGCAATGCCTTTTCGTTGCACCGTATCGTACGTACCAAGCGCTAGTACCGAGTTGCTACATACCGGGTGATTTGGCCAAAAGCGATGAGAATGTGGCGCAAAACAGACGTAATTGACAAATTACGTTATAGGAAAAGCGCGTTGACGTTTCGATATCCGATTACAAAATGTTCGCCTGTCGTCGTTATCGTCCGCCAACGTACGCGTTCCGTTCCATTTTCCAGAATCGACCTGCTCTGTAAAGTTCGACGAACTGCAAATACAGTCGACCCTCGCATAACACGGTTAATTGGTTGCAAATTGGCGTTGCAACGAAACCGTGTTGTATAAGAATATCGCGTTAGCCTTCAGTGTACCGTGTCGTAAGAGGGTTGAGCGTATGTGAATATCATCGACGCAAGCTACGCGAATCAAATAAATTCGAGGTACGGTTGCTTCTGGTCGCCAAATGAATTATCGTTCTATTTCGTGGTTTCGTGATTCGCCGATGCGCTCGATGTTCATCGACGAGGAAATGGAGTAACGAGAGGGGAAAATGCACGTAATATATTTTTCATTTCGTTGTTTCGCTATCGCTGTGACGATCTTGATCGCTGGCAGCGATTAGATGCGCGATCGCGTTTGCCTGTTGCTGTATCCTCGAATACGATAGAAATGTACAGAGAAGGCACGCGTCGAAAATTTGCATCTTCACGGTGAATAGGAAACGACCGAAACCTGTTGAGTTTCGATATCGTAAAATCTGGTTACGCGTGGAAAGTAATGACAAGGCGAGGGAAAAGGCGATTAAAACTCTGAGAACCGAATGCACGAGCATGGTACGTTCCACGAGTCGAAGAACAACGTCTTTTCTCTCTCGCAAACTTTTCTCTTTTGCAAATTCGTTTACTCGCAGATTTTTCAAATGGACGTGAAGTTTGTCCGTGAACGGAACACGCGACAAGCAAAGCAAGGGAGCACAGACTGAAAAACGAACGAGTTTACAAAGCGGGGCGCTGCTGTTCTGCAGTGTCAGCACGTTCGAACGGTATTTAATGCGGATTTTGTCATCAGGTGGCATTGACAAAATCCCCAATCACTTAGTTGCCAACCTAATAGCTGCAGCGGAAAGAATTCGACACTGCAGCCCCATTATGTTCTTGTCGGATCTACGACTGCTTGAGAAAAGAAGGGTCAAGTCTGACTTGTTTTTCCTTTACAAACTTAACAGTAATGTTGTTTTTTGTCTCCGATTCCTTCAGTTTATAAATTTTGATGCCACCAACAGGTCGTTTAGATAGTTTAGGTTCTCCAGATCTTTTCTACCGCCGTGACTCCTTACTTGTGAATTCACACCCAGTAAAGTGTGTCGATGTTTTTGGCGTTGGCATCGGTAGCTTTAGAAATTCGCTTCGTGAAATTTTATGAGGTTACATGCTGTTACATGTCTTTTGTACTTTATTTGTATCTTTCCTATGCACTCTACGTAGCTCCTTTGGTTCTAGCATCGCACGTGAATGGAGATTTATCGTTTATTCATCCTGTCCCATTTATTTTTAGATAAATAAAAAAATATACGAATAAACAAAATTTGAAAAAAAAGAAGCGTAATCAGCCGGCGCAGGAGACTCGTTGTTGGAAACGCTACGAAATCTATCGATTTTCTGGACGAACGGCTGACGCGTAGCGGAAATTAGCCGACTACGATTCGACGTTGAATTCGAGACAAATGGAAATTTTATTTCTCCGCTGACATCTTACGACGAAGCACAAGTGAAAAAATTGTTTTAGAAGAAGATTTAATATTACGGAACTTCTTGTCGCAAGGTGGCGCAGCGCGTATTTCTTGCCTGTTGACTATTAATTATGACGCGTGCACAGCTTGACAGCTAATTACGAAGAAAACGTCCGGCGAAGCTTGAAACGCTTTTTAAGACGCGTAAAACCACCAAAGCCTTTAGCAAAAGGACGTTGAACGTTTTAACAGCGCTGTTCCAACCTCACCAGCGTGTAATGAGGCGGAGAGAAAGTGAATTACGCGCGTCGTGAATCGTCTCACAGTGTATAACGTTGATGTAATAAGGTGTATCATGGCGGCTGCTTCGAGGTAAAATTTCATCGACAAAGAGAGGCGCATTTGTTGCGGAATACGATTTCGTGGCTGATTGAAGAAAAACTGGAGCAAAAAGAGGCCGGCCCGTCGAGTTCTCCCGTCGACAGAAGAAATGATAGGCCGTAATTCAGTGGAAAAGTGGTAGTTACGTCGACGACACGACGTACTGAATAAAAAAAGGGATTATCCCTGTGCAAAAGACGATACGACGAGCTAACGCCACCTAGAAAAGCGTCAGCGGCTGGAGAATAAAGCATGGGAAAGATATTACGAGCTAACGATAATTTCAGCCACGTGGCTGCCACTTTATTGCTCGACGATGTACACCGCGTCGTCACACCGAACGAATAATTTATACCACCACGTATACGCGACAGCTGACAGTGTCGGTCAACTTCCAACTAGCTTTCTACCGAATGTTGTTCGCGTGTTTATCCGCTCGACTCTTTTTTTAACAATTTTAGTACATACGTTGTTCAACTGTACACGGTTGGGTAAAAGTAATCGCAGCACAGTCTGGTGGAGGGTGATTCTGCGTGAATAAATATGTCGAAAACGTGGAATAACATTTTTGTATATCACGCTTGATTGCTGAGAAAATCGGATCTGAAAATTCGTCAAGTATATTTCAATTTGGCTAATTATCGACCAGGTATGAATAAACAATCGGCAGCAGGTTGTTATACACGCAGAAACGAGTAAAAAATGTACAATAGAATTTTTCCAGTGAAGGCCACGCTTTCAAAGATACAAAGTTTGAACGCGTTTCATTGAAAACGAACTCGTCTGCCGTGCACGTGAAACAATTTCAAATTTAGTTTTCTCGGAAACGAAGCATCTTATGAGAGAATTTCATTCTACGTTTTTCACTTGTTTTCTTGTGTAGTTTAAACCTCTGTTGATTATTCACTCTCATTCGGTCTGGAATTAGCCGAATTTACGTCCACTTGTCAAACTTGCAGGTCGATTTTCTGGGAAACGAAGCCTCAGAGGAAAACATGTTTTCTTCAAATTCATTTCTTATTTTCTCACGTAGAATCGCCCGCTGCTCGGCTCTACTACGATTTCCCTCCTATTTATTCGGATCCTTCTGTGCGAAATATTCTCGAAATTCTAGTGCAGTTGTCAATCGTGGATGGCTCGCGTTATCGCTGCTCGACGCGACGCTTTCTAATCTCCGCTATTCGACGTTTCGGTCGGTCGATGGATTCTTTGGTCCACGCGATTTTATCGGGTTGGAAACGAAGGAAGAATCTGTGGGATCTACGAAAAATTGGTCGATTACGTAGAATAAATAAATACGCATCGGAAATTGGAAGACCGTTGGTGAGGAAGAGAAAGCATGACAAACGTGACTGTTGCCGAGTTTCTGTTAGCCGAGTTTGCACGACTACGCGCGTTGTTTATCGAATCCGCAACGTCAAATATTTATCCGAGAGAGGAATAGCATAATGGTTTTGTAGATAACGCATTGACGAAAACAGCCTGGAACCAAATGCCTAATTAGCTTATTAGTTCGATCGTTTTAGCGAACAATTTTCACAGTGCTCGGAGGAAGTTTCACGCTAACCGTTAGGACTTGGCGGTTTTCGTTGCGATCCAGCCGATATGTCGTGTATCTCACGGCGTATCTGCCAGGCTTCGTAATTGGTTCGAGGCCAAGAAGCCTTAATTAGAAACTTCGCGTCCATTTGTTTCCCTTTCCCAGGCCCCCTTCTTCCTTTCCCTTCCATCATCTCCAACGATCTTTATTTCCGTATATTACATTAAATTCAATTAAATGTTCATTTTCCCTGCGTTCGTCGTTTCTGCTATTTTTCACCTTTGCTTTTCGAATATGCTTCTCTCTCTTTCTTTAATATCGCACTCGCTCCTTTACTCGAATTCTTCGATTCTCCAGCCGTCTGCCGATTTTCTCCGACGTTCGCTCATCTCATATCCGACATTTTATCCTATCCATTTGGTTACATTATTTCGAGCGAGTTTCCTTGAAGCTTTTGGCAACGGTTCGGCTGGCTTTTCGCGTCTCTTCTTTCTTCGCGTAACGCAAGAGACAATACGATGTGTATAAAATGTAACGTAACAAAATCGGACAATTCAGAGTAAGAGTTATTTTGAACAATTCTTGGAAAAGATTCGTTGAGTAAAAATTAACATTCATTTTGTAGCGGCACATGGCCGTAGGAAAAATTTCAAGTTGAAACGGAAAATTCAAATCTAGGAGAGACCTATATTATTGTGACTTTGAATACTAACGTTATTTTCGATTGCAAGGTCTAGAAGCAAAAGAACTTTGAATAGATTGTTATTGCTGTTTCTTGGAATCTTCAGCCAGAGTTACATGAGAAGGTTAACTTTTTGTGGTAACGTCCGTCGATATAAATGCATGAAGGTGCTGCCTATAACATTAGTATTATTATTCTTTCTTCGGTTGGTATAGTAACATTGCGCGAGCGATGATTAAAACCTGCATATGCTATCTCTGTACTTGTATTTGTATTTATTTTAATACGTCTGACTATTAGAAATTCATTCACTCGTCACTTTATTAAATACACATACACGTTATAATCATCTCAATTTAAATGGGAGGCGGTTATCAACGAATTTTTTTTTTATTTAATATTTCACATTCACAATTTGTGCTATTTGGACATTTGGTAGAATTTTTTAGCTGTTTGATTATCATGTGGGTAGCTACCCCCAGCGGGGTACCATCTATCGACGAATTTGAAGGAAATTTGTCAGAAAATGAAATGATTAAAAGATATCAATTTTTGTATTGTTCCGATTACTGATAACCACAATTAGAGTGATTACTATTTTTTTCTTTTTCGCTACCTGTAATCATTATTGCTGGCGGAAATTTCATTTTCGCTACCAGTAACCAATAAAATAATTTAGTTAGTGAGCATTATTATCGACAGCCAGAATTTTATTTTCGTTACCGATAATCATCGATGGCTGAAACCTTCTTTTTGCTTATCTCTAACTAATATCAGCGACAAGAATTTTCTCCGTTCGCATTTTATTATTGTCAACTGTTACTAACATTAGTCGTGATTAGTATTCATTGGATGAATTTCATTACTTATGATACTTGTACGTTCTATCATTTTTTGCTAAAAAATGATATAAAAATACGTTATATCAAAGGAAGGATAGAGCAAACGATATTATAATAGTTTTATTAATTTATCGTGCCACAATATCTTGTATTTTATTTTTTCTTTCATATATTCTCGTGGCGTTTCTTTTTTGCTTAATAAAATACACGTTTCACAATTCATTTTCTTTATGTTGTCAATGAACATATACTAATTACCGATAATGTTGATAACAACTATCAATATTCGAACGTAACCAGGAAAAATATTTGCCAACGAATAATCGTCGATATCTAAAATAAAATTCGGGCTATCCATAATATTTATTGGTAACCAAAAGAAATTCCGGACGTTTATATTGCTTACTATTAACCAAAATTAAACTTGCCTCGTCGATACTGCTTATTCGCAAGCGAAATAAAATGCCCCTCGTCGATAATGTTTATATCGATGATCAAACAAATTTTAATCATTTATATGATCGTCCGAAACCAAAAGTTTTTAATTAAAGATATTAACTCGTATATTAAAAATTTAAAAATTTGTCTGATATAACTGTTATGGTGTCTGAATAAAATATAATAAAAGCGCTTGCCAAAAGTATACTACACACAGAATGTGTCTCGACTGATCAAGTACATGAAAATGTTTGGTTTAACCGGCAAATCGTCAGATTTATCGGCCAATGTCGGTGTAAGTCGGAGATATTATGTAATCAATATTTTCTGCTTTTACGGAAATTGATTGGCAAGTCTTAAAGTTTGCTACTAAGCTGCGGTAAATGTCATAAGTTTCACAGGGACCCGTACTTGCACCCGCACCGCATCACAAGTCTTTCTGTTTCGATTTGCACATTACCGCTGCTCTTTTCTGCTACTATCGAAATAAAGTGAGCGTAAAGGGAAAGATTCTATGAATTACCATTCGAGTCAATGCAAACTAAAAACAGCAAATTTCACGTTGTTGAATAGAAGCGAGTGGAAGGAATCGGCCGTGTCGTTCGCTCAAAGAAACAGTCGAAACCAATAGAAATTAAAGGGAGGGTGGTGATTTTCGGTGAAAACGAAGTTTTTTTAAATTTACTCGCGTGTGGGATTGGTATCGATTTGGACTAGATTTTTTCGTGCGAGCAACGCGTATGTACGTTTGTCGCGTCAATGTTGCACACGTACGGACAAAAATAGTACAAGCGCGCTGCATATAGTACAATATATAGTTTAGAATGCTTCCTTTACACTCATTTTGTGTCGATAATAGCAGAAAAGAGCGACGACAACTTGCAAGTTGAAACGAAAGCACTTTGTCCGTGTCTCTTACACTTTTGTACGCGAAACTTTTGACATTTAGCGTAGCCCAGTAGCAAACGTTAAGATTTGCCAATTAATTTCATTAAAGCAGGAAATGAATATTAATTTTATAATATTCCGGATTTATATCAACGATGACGGTAAATCTTAAGATTTGCTGTAAAAATCTAACATTCTTCGATATTTTACAAGAACATATGAGCGTGCTACAGAGCCATAAATCAGCAATAGAAAAACCAAGGGGGCGTAACGAACATCCCCTAGGCCATCGAAACAACAACGTAGACAGCGTCCCAGTGTGAGAAAACAAAAAACAAAGAAGTCTAAAAATTATTTAAATGGTTAATTACATTTTGCGCTAATGATTTTATTTACCGATTTCACATATTGTTTATACAAAGCATCAAATTAAAATTATACAAAAATATAAGTAAAATTAAAAACATCAAAGATGACTAAAGATAAATAAGACGACTTGAACGTGAAATTAAAAATTCATAATTCGTTTTAATATTTTTTTACAGTGTACTGTCGTTCGATTATAACTGCATTTAATCATAACTGACAGTGTAACTTTTTCATTAATTTTAACATCACCAAATTGGTGTATTTTATTCTATTGGGTTGGCAATTAAGTGATTACGGATTTTGTCATTAGGTGGTAGTTGCCAACCCAATAGAATAAAATACACCAATTTAATGGTGTCAAAATTAATGAAAAAGTTACATTATCATTAGGTGGTATTGACAAAATCCGCAATCACTTAGTTGCCAACCTAATATACTGTACTTTATAAAAGCAGAAAAAGTGGAGTGATTAGTTGCCAACAATTCCAGGTAAACAATAACTAATAATAACAACAACAAAAAAGAAAAACAAAAAGTGAAAAAGGGCGATCTCCCTGTTCGGTCACGCAACGATGTTCTTCACAGAGGGCAGGCAGATCTCCCTATTTGTTGGCTAGTTGTTAAACGTCAGTCTGTTGGATTCCCATAATAAACTCTGCCAGTATATCTAAAGTCTGTTTTTCGACTTTAAACTTACGCGAAATTATTCGAACGATCAGTGATTTCTTAATCTCACCACTCGCTGTGTCTTCGACGTGACAAGTGCATACGTGTCTCATTTATACTAAAAGAGTCGAATTATCTCATTAAAAGGACTTCTCTTTGTTTTGCGAAACGCGTCGTTTCACGACGTATGTTCCATTCGTCTCGTTATTTACATTTGGTAATGTCTTGTTGGTGTGCTTTGTAGGGTCGTTGGACACGATACATATCCCGTCGTCGTTCCGGTAATAAAGCTGGAAATCTCTGGGTTTGAGGAGCAAACGTCGTGCCACTAGAAGCACTGGCTTTTCTAATCCTCGCCTCGGCTTGTTCAAGAGGCAAAGAAGACGAAGAAGGGGCGTTACTGGCAAGGCTTTTGCTCAGAAAGCCGCCTAAGATGAAGAGGATCGCTTGGAATATTCACCGATATTGCCGTCACTGGTATTACACCGTCTTCCTCCGTTTTTCAGCGTCGTAGAATAATTTTCAAAATACAATGAGCACCTTGGATGAAGAATAAAGCAACCATCAAACGAATGTGATTTTACCATTTTATTTTATTCTTTTGTGTTTGATCGAGAGGATCGCCGGCGTTCGAAAGAACGAAACTTTCGATAAATTGAATTCGATGTCGATGCGACGCACGATGTGACGTTTGCAACGTTCATTGACCACTTCGAGTTTTCGAAGCAGAAACGAGGCAGCTGATTGGTCGTTGATTACAGTAATTTAGGAAATTTCATCGATCGCAGCTAAAGGCGACTGGAAATTGTCTTTAAACTCGTCTCGTTTTTCCAGGGCTCGACATGCGCGGTGTAACCTTGAAAAAGGGAGGAAAACGACTAGTTCGTTCGACTGCAAGCGATGCAATCGCCATCCTAAGATATAAAACGGACGGGGCAGGAAAAATCGTCGCGTGGAAGGTCTATCGATTTGCAAAGTACCGCGAAAGAGCTCCGGGTCGCTCGAAAATCCGGCTGGACGTCATTGAAAATGGCCGATGTGTCTGCAGCTTTCGGAAGAATTTCTAACCGGAAATGCGAAATGCAGCGCACGAGCATAAAACTGGAAACGAAGGAAGAAATAAAACGCGGTTCTTCAGGCTGTATGCAGCAGCCGAGGGAGAAATGAGGTAAATTCCTCGAGGGGAATACGCAATCGCGAGAACCGTGCGAACTCCACGAGTATTGCAGTCGTCGTCATCGTGCAACCTGCAACGTTTAAACGTGTCGTTAACGCGCTCGTGCACGAACGCGGTTCGCCTCTTTTCGAAGGTCATTGTTTGCCGACGCGGCAACGGAACGAAAGTTTCAAAAGCTACAGCCATCGAAACGTCGAACACGATATTTATCGCGAGCCGGAGAACGTAACGTAGTAACGTTATGCGAGCGAATTTCGCGGTGCAAGATTTAAAGGCTCGCAGTGTCGTGTTTCGCGGAGTACAGCGTAACGACCACGGCCAATTTAGCTGCGTTGTTTCGAAGCCAGCAGCGAGGAATCCGAGACAGGCGCACGTTCGTGAAAATATGGTTATAGCTGGGAAAAGTTGAGCGCATACGGTCGAACAATACACGCGCTAAAGTTGGAAAATGCAAGTGGAACGACGCGCGACGCCCAGCACAATGACGTTCGTAAAGACGATCGCGCCGTCCTGCTTTTCTTTGCTGCATCGCGCAAAACATCATATATATGTCGAGTTATCGTTAGGTTTACGGGCGTGTAACGAATCTTCATTCGGACTAGCCATCGTTGTTGTACAATAGAGATTATATTTACTGGAATAAATATAATTTTTACAGAGTTTGACAAATAACCGTGGTGATTAGACGCTCGAGATGTTAATGACAATGATCTTAGGTTCAATAACGAATCCACGGTCAACGGGGTAACTCTTTGTTAAACGTAGAATATACGTAACGTAAACTATACGAATAATACTACACGTAAATAGGATGTGATCCTTTTGAATATGTGAGTGAGGAGAGTGATATTATATTTCCTGTAAGAAAACGTCCACGAAGATTAATAATTGAAGATGACTCCGATGATGAAGACAGTGAATATAGGCTTCGAATAGTTGAAGGAATATTACAAACCGTACCATCGCAAAATTATAACAGACAAGGATCATTATCGAACGAGGATATACCAATGAGGCTAAAGGCGCAACATTGTGGTCACTTTCCGAAACATATAGATCCCACGCCATTGAAAAAAGATCCAACAAGAGCTTGCAAAGTATGTACGAAACATCAGAAAAGGAGTGAAACAACGTGGGGATGTAAAAAGTGTCGAGTTGCGTTATATGTACCTAATTGTTTTGAAAGATACTACACAGTTGAAGATTACTAATTTTCATTAAATTAACTAAGTATTAACTTACAAATTGCTAGTGATTCATTATCCACTTTGAAATAATAAATCGTTTTTGTTAACTGATCAATTGATCATGATTACGCCCTAGACGTCCTAAAAACACTATTTGTTCTCAAACGTTGTTTATTATTTCACAATTCCTTTTGTAGCCTCTAAATATATATGTCATAAGAAGTATACATCTAGCGCCAGTTCGGGCACACGGCAGAACAGATGGCACAGCACGCGACCGAACTTCTTGCTTACTACGGCTCGCGCGATCGACAAATGGCGTGTAGGCCAAGGGGTTAAATAATAAAACTTAGAAGTAGTTGTTTATGATTTAATCCAATTATGTGTGCCCGAGATTTATGACAGTAGGCTTGGACTCGAAGCGACACATCTGGTCGCTAAACGTAGCCACGGTCCCGAGATGGATGTTTTTGCCAAAAAGAGGTATGACGTAATTGCATAGCTCTCCTTAAAAAGATAGTTGAACCAAGGGGTACAGAGAGATACATAGAAAAGTACATAAGTTCAGTTTTGACTTGGACTTTGGACAAGTAAGTAAGCGCATTTGCTATCCTGTTGACTGTGTATTCGTTATTGAACCTAAGATTATTGTCATTAACATCTCGAGTATCTGATCGTCACGGTTAATTGTCAAATTCTGTAATAGTCATATAATCACCTTGTGAATTTATTATTATATTCGCTGAGTGACTAAGTAATCATTGTTATTACAATGTAAGTCTTTAGTGAGAACTTATTCTTGTGTAGTGAAATGGTTTATTGCTAGTGAACTTTATTCTGTAATGATCGTATTTGTACCATTAACTGTCATCTATATGGTATGATACAAAACAACTAATGCAAATGAATGTTCGTTGAACGCCTCTAACTCCATATCGGCTCGACATATACAGGGTGGGTGGTAACTGGTGGTACAAGTGGAAAGGGGGTGATTCTACGCGAAAAAAGAAGTCGAAAATATAGAATAAAAATTAAAAAAAATTTTTTTTTAATTTTTCCATCGAGACAACGATCTACAGTGAGATCCGTTATAACGAGACGCGATAAAGTGCACGCGTACCGACCAAAAATTCAAAGTCGATTTTCTCGAAAACAAAGCCTCAAATGAAAAATTTTTATTCTATATTTTCGACTTATTTTTTCGCGTAGAATCACCCCCTTTCCGCCTGTACCACCAGTTACCAACCACCCTGTATATATTGATATTGACAAAATCCGCAATCATTTAGTTGCCAATCCAATACATTAGGTTGTCCGGAAAATATCTTTCTTTCGCAAACGTGTTGTTTACAACAATGCACCTTCATACAAACGTGAAACCAAGTCTGTGAAATGTCTCAGTGTTTGTCTCAACAGAACAAAATGGATCGTACGTAATTCGACGAAATAATATAAAACAAAAAACGTTGTGCATCTATTATTTCTTCGTAGAACGAAAGACACTTTTCGGACAACCTAATATATGCTGCAGGTTCTACGGTGTGTGAAATTAACACACCGCGCTGAGTAGGTGAACTTCTACAAAGTCCGACCGAGTAAAATGTGAAAGCGGCCACGACGTAAATCCTTGTAGAAAATGAAGGAAAAGATATGCAGTAAAATTTGTTCGTTCTCGGCTTAGTTTTCGAGAAAATCGAATTTGAAAACGTACCAGGTGTACTTGAACGTGGCTAGTTTCCGGAGTAAACGGAACTAAATAACCGACAGGAAGTTGTTGTACGTGTGAAAATAAGTGGAAAATGTAGAATAGAATTTTTCCACTTAGGGCTTCATTTTCAAGAAAATGGAGTTTAAACGCGTTTAGTTGAAGACTGGTTGTATAGAAAACGTCAAAATTGAAAAACTTTTAGCTTTCGTTGGGGAACGTTCTACGTACCGACGAGAATGCTGTAGCATAGAATTTAAGCGCAACTTCCTGTTCTAGATAGTTTCTAATAACGCCAGACGATGATTTCGCAACGTCATCTTTATAGAAAAAAATATAACTTCCAACAAACATCATTAATTATCCTTTGTTTCTTGCCTACACCATCCATCTAAATAAATGGAACAGTTTTCGTTTCGACTAAGAGGCGACCCGTGCAGGCTTCCCTACAGGTACACTTTTTTTTCTCATTCATTTGGACTACATTAACGCGTATCTTCCCTTTTCCTCCTGAGAAACTTGTGCCCTGGTATTTACAGCGTTTCGTACGAGCGCTCTTCGGTTAAGAATGGACTAACTACGCGAGATAAACCAAATTTACTTTCCTCGGGAGCAAAGCGACTTGTGAAAAGACGTTATTCTACATCGTCGACTTATTTTTACACATAGAACCACCTCCTGACGATCGTTTAATCCTGTCCAGCCCGGAATCAACCATTTTCAAATCTACCTGACATACTACTGGCTTGGCAACTAAGTGACTGCGGATTTTGTCAATAGGTGGTATTAGTTAGCTAGTTGCCAACCAACACAAGTTTCGAAACTCGATCTTCTCGAAAACCGAGCCAGGAACGAACAAATTTTATTCCACGTGCGTTTGTCATTCTTCCGCAAGGAATCGCATCGTAATTTTACACGTTGTTCAGACGGATTTATTATACTAATTAATCGATAGTAACATGGTCCCAAATGAAACGATGACAAACGTGGACGCGTAAAACCGATTGGCCGTGTTCCGGATTTTCGAACGTGGTCTGTGTGGTAATTCCAGTGGAACAATGTGATTCCTAGGAACGATTTGCACTGAAATTTTGCCAACGATTACGAACGCTCGAGAAAACTTATCGAGCGGCGCTTCGAAATTTTCCACCGCCTCGGGGAAAGAGCAGCAAAGTGGAGAGTTTCGCAAAGTTTGAGTCGTGCGGGCTACTTCAACACTGGCACGATATTTCCGCGCTCAACGATACCTTTCAGCGAAAAAAGTCTGGCCCGTTTAAAAGGACAAATAATCCAAACTGACTGAATGCAGCGATATTAATTATCCGTTGCAACAACCGAGTATTTTCGATCAGATGGTATCGCGGAACCGTCGTTTATCGCAACGCTGGTCAATGGCAATAGTCACTGTACCAGTCATTACTGCGATGTAATGTGTCGTATCGATGTATCGATAAATAGGGGCGTTCAGTTTCGTCGATAGCGTCGATATATGGCTGATAATCAAATTATTTTCATTTCCCGCGGTTCGCTACACATGAGAAGATGGATTGGAAAATGAAGTACCAGCAGATTCGATACAACGTGAAATTGCTTTCCCCTCGAAAGCGCCTTGTTTCTCCATGTATTTATGTATTTACGTATACCGGCATCGTATGCACCGGAACCAACCGGCTGCATCGAACGATGGCGAGTGAGTAAGCAGTCGTTTAATCTTCGAGTGCCGACATGCCTCGGATGTATCGTCGATTTATAACGCCGTATCCGGTGAAGACGACGCGCGTGTTACTCTGCCCGTTCCTATTTCCTCTTCTCACCGTAGCTTCTCGGTAGTCCAATTACAATTTACAATTACGCTTATAATAATTTACAATTAGAAGGGCGCGCCTGCACGCTACCGGAAGATTACGTGGGAAACGCGGTGGTCACGAAACACGCGGCGACTCACCGCTTTCGATCAAACGCGATTTAGCGAAAATCGATCCACTTTACGCGGCCAAAGAATTCTACCGCTTTTTTCCATCTTGTCGATAAAATCGAGCGAACGCGATTGAATTTTACGTGAAAAACGAGAATTGGAAAAACAGCGGTATCGACGATGCAACAGTAGCGACGACGCTTTAGCAAACCGAATGTCAACGCATCCATCGATGTCGCTACTTGGCGATTTAATTTCCCATCGATATACAGGATGGCTGGTAACTGGTGGTACAAGCGGAAAGGGAGTGATTCTACGCGA